GTATTTTTTCTATTCCAATCCATTCTTCTTTAGCAGCATTTAACCTTGATCAGATTTGATGGTTTTGTTACAGACTTTTCAAAAAAGTGTTTTGCTTTTCTTTCACAAATGTGGGATTAAATTGTGTTAAAATGTACAAAACAGTGATGTCATGCTTTGTGACGAGGACCCAGGCACAGAGACACTTGATGAATTCAAGAATCTTATGATTTAATAAAGAAATTTGCAGACTTGCACAGAGATGGTAAAATTATGATGACTGATAACGGAGATGAAGACAACAGACGACGAGGACAGGGAGGAACAGGGGTTTAAATGCACCAAGGAGACAGTCAGAAGGAACTCGGGACAACTGGAGACATGTAGGGATGCAGGGACTGACAGAGACGGGGAAGACGTGTCATTGTAACGAGTAAAGTTTATCTTGCCTGGCTGGGCAGTTCTCTGGGTGCTCAGCACGCCCAAAGCTCTGATCCTAGAATCGCCCCTGGTCTGACCTTCATCTCAGAAGGTCCAAACGCCCTCAGCTAAAGTCGTGACGCTCGCTGAAGCTGGAAATGTGGCGGTGGGTGGGGATAAAATGGGCGCCGCTGTCAACTTGCCCTCTGTCATTTAATCGCTCAGAAACTATCACAAACAGCTGCTGCAGGCTGTCTGCTGCTGCTGTTGCTAGGCAACACCCCAGTGGTTTCTCATGGTGACAGCGAGCAGAGATGCTGATGGAGGAAACGGGCGGGGGGAGGGGGCCCGGGCCTCCCCTTCCTCCTCTCTGTAGACCTTTACATGCCAGCAATAATTCATGAGCGCCGTAGTAACGGCTGCGGATGACTATTAATGCCGCGTCTTTGTGCTTCACCCTTTTCTTTGTCCTTGTGCTTCCCTTCAGCGCTCCGAGCACGCTGCGTGTTCGACACACGAGCTAAAACCGGATCGGTGCAGGCCCACGTGGACCGCATTCCTTCGATGATTAATGCTGAGCACAGGTGGACTGCTGTGCTGCCTGAATGTGGACCCGAACGGGCTAACCTGCCTAGGACAGATGTGGAGCCACATGTGTGGTGGGGTCTGGGTCTAATACTTAAACATGTTAAATAAAGAGAGTCCCTGTGTGTGGCACGAGGCCCTGTGGGTGAGTTTCAGCAGGCAGACCCGGCTTAACTGCTGAACTACCTGAGACAAAATCCATTATGGTTAAATGTGGACCAAAAAGGGACACTTTGTGGACGTAGACCCCCCTCCCCCTTTGCTGCCGTACAGGCTAAATGTGGACCTGCCACACACAGCTGGCTGAATGCTGACTGAACCTAAGTGGGGTACATGAAGTGGAATAGACACACAGCGGGTGGAAAATGTCAGGTGGGCCAGATGTGGTTCAAATATCATGACATAGCTGACATCTGGCCCACATAAAGCGTTTTAGCATCCGGACTCCAAAATACGGATCCGCTGCAGGTGTGGAGCTAAATCAAGTTTGCATGAAATCTGCAGCACGAGCTGAAGTCGACCAATCGCGCGACATAAAAACACAGCGAGACGGAGGCTTCTGAGCGGGCGAGCGGGCGAGTGGGGGAGGGTCGACACCACAAACAGTAATAGGTGTGTGTGTGGGGTTGGGGGGGCCGGCGGGGAGTGCTGATGGACATAAAAAAAAGAAAAAAAAAAAAAAAAAAAAAAAAAGAGTGCTGACATCATCGTCTTAAATGCAGTCAACGCCGTGACACGCAGAGAGGGGTGGGGGCTTGTTTATCGGCACAAATGTGAAGTTATTGACGCCTACGATTACGATTCTGTCAGTGTTTAAAGAGCGGCCGATCACTGCAGCGCTTGTCTCTGCACATTCCTGAATAAATTATGTCTTTAAATGTGAAGCTGGTAACCATGGCAACAGCATCCTCCTCCACGGCTACAGCGAACGAAGAGGAGGGGGAGAGAACCGACCGCGGTGCTGCGCAGACAGATGAATCAAACCTCGCTGCGACTCCATGTCTTTATTTAGCTCTGCACATTCAGCCCACGTGAGCGCCGACTCACTGACGGAGGCTCTGCCCACTCCGCCTAACTCAACTGTGTCTGAACATGGAGACTGATCCAAGCTGGCATTCTTCACCGCACTGTGCCAGACTTCAGACTTTTCAGTTTTCGAGCGGATGCTGTCATGCTTCTGTGGTTCAGGATAAACATGACGCTTCTAACAATGAGCTCAGGCAGGGAGCCCCAGACATCCCATGAAACCACCTATATCACCTGTTATTGCAATTTATGACCTTTCAACTGCAAGGGAACTTTGTCAATATCTACGTTTTATCCAGTAAGGATAGCTCGCAGAGAGGCTGCCTCCTCTGTGATCAGAACAGCGAGCGCGACACCCTTGAGCTCTAGGCAACCGTGTCGTCCCCACACGCCGCGATCAGCCACAGAATGTGAAAACATTCAGAGCAGCCGCTGATGTTGTGGATGTCCCGACTCGCTCTCAGAGCGCGAGAAACGAGCTGCAGGTTTGAGAGCAGCTTGCTGTAAATCCACACACCTGCAGCATTGTGTCTTTGTCTGAGCCGCTTCGGCTGCTGCAGCTGCACGCACAAAAACACTCTGTCAGACACTGCGCGGCCAATCAGAGCGCAGCAGAGGTGAACTGAGCAGATGCAGTTTCTGGATCTTAATACGACGCCGTGTCTTTAATCAGAGTCCTTGCTGTCTCGTTAACAAACTCCTGATGCAGTACCGGTACTACCATTACTGCAGTACTCGCTGTACTTGTAGTTTCTTGCTGCATTGCAGATTTTCTCTTTGAACAACAAAAACACCCCTGGTGTGTGTGTGTGTGTGTGTGGACAGTGATGGTTAAGGTGCCCTTGGCTCAGTGCAGCAGCTCGCTGTGTGAATGCTAACCACGCTGATCTGCGTTTCTGCTGGTTACACTTTGGTGCCGCTCGGCTCCTTCTCACATGATCATTTCTAACATTTGTGACTCCAACATGTGGCTCGGGGGCCACATCTGGCCCACCAAACAGTCCAACACAGCCCGAAAATGGACGAGTTCCTCGAGCTTTCATTACAATGCTGATCACGTTTGGTGACAAAGGAAAGGTCACAGTTCAAGTGAATGTAAAATGAAAAGTAAGGCTCAACATTTCGTGTTTCTTCATCAACGCATAGACAGCAGAGAAAGTTTCGCTCTTGGCTTCAAGTCAATCAAATCTGCATCTTTGTCAAATACAAATGTTGGAATTACAAGAACATAAAAGCGTCCATGTGAAGACGCTGAGTGCAGGATTTCAGGAGCTGACAAATTCAGAAAATACCTGTGCTGTGTTTAAGCTCCACAGCGAACGGTGGAAATGTGGCTGTTTTCCCTGAGAGGCCTGGATTTGATCCGAACACAACTTCCTGAAGACGTAAAGATCAATAAGTGAGACGCTCCAGTGTTCTTACTTTAGCTGGACTTCTGGAAAAACAGGTGAGCCGCTCCATCACAGCCTGACTCAGTTTCTACTGAAAGAAGCCTTTAGCCACAGGACGTGAGTGATTCCAGCACCAGAATTTCAAAATAAAGTCGAGTGTGGCATTAAAGAAACGTCACGTTTGACAGAAAAGGAATTTATTACAACCGACTCAGCTCCAAGGCACGTTACAAGATCAAATGTGTTAGTTTCATTTTTATCTGAACAGAAACACAAAACAAGCTGAACCTTAATGTGAGGCAGGAACAGAGAGGAGGGGCTTCTTATTGCAGTACAAAATATATTAGAAAGGAAAAATTAAATTCAAATTCAAAATGATAATATGAATAAATTATTTCTATAAAAATAAAAAAAAATTGCTTTTTTTGTTGTTTTCTTTACAGACACGACTTTCTAATGTAAAAATGGAGCATGTGTTAGTGACTACCGGCTGCCTCACACTGAACCTCCTAAACACCACGGCACTGACCACGCCTTCATCTCCACGACAACACAACACGCTCGTTTCTTTGTTAAACACGTTTTCTAAAACATCCACATGTAGAATATTTATAAGTTCAGCTGTCTGCTCCAAACTCGGCTGGAACCTGGACGGAGGGAAGACGGCGTGTGCACGGTTTCCTCTTTGATGTCACAAAACATCTGACACAGTTTAAGTACAAAAGGTTTTTTTCTGTTTTACATTTAGATCATGACACAAGGTAGAAACGAAACACAATTCCAAGGGTCGTTTAAACATGACTCTACGTCCTGCTCGTCTGTTTTTAATGCTGATTTATTCGTTTACATCTGCAGTGAAACGTCGGCATAATTATACTCTGACACCGTTGGCTTTCCGGGCAGAAGAAACAAACTTCCTGTTTAGTCTCTCCGACAGCCGTCAGAGAGCTAGCGTGTTCACGGGTCTCACTTCCTGTCCAGTTCAAACAGAAGAAAACCAGCAAACGAGCAGCAGATGTGTTCATCGAGGTGACTTTACCTTCCAACTGTCAGGGCCAAAGTCGAGGCGTTTTTGGTTGGTTCACTTCAAACCACTGGAACCAGTTTGTCCACAGCAGAAACTCTCTGCATTTGGGAGTTAACTTGTTTTAACTTGACTGAAAATGAAGAATTCATCAGTCTGACCTCCATCTTTGCGTTTGCTTTGTGGATCCAGGTGCAACAGAAACATAACATTTATTCGCTGGACGAATCCAACTATGAAGTTTGTTTGTTTTTTAAAGCCCAGAAAGTTTCTATAAGCGAGTTATGAGGAGCAAACACGCACAGCTGAACGGTGACGGCTCACGGCTGCAGCGAGTCAGAGTCTGTACTCGTCTCAAAGCTGGTGCAGAGATCAGTCACGAGCGAACGCGGCCGCGCCTCCTCTCAGCCATGTTGGGTTAGAGGAGGTGAACTGATGCTGCAGCTGTTTCAGGCGAGGAGCGGCTCTGTAAACAGCATGACGCCCGTTTCATCCGCACGTCCAACAAGCCTGAGGTTAAAGTTCAAGTCTGCACACAGCCAGTTATTGTCTAATCATCTTAAGCTCAACCCCCCCCCCCCTTCTGCCGACGTGCCACAGGAGTGACGGTCTACCGCCGAGAACGTTACCGAGCTGATCTTTGTGCGACGCCTCGTTAAAGGCACCAAAACCACGAGTAATAACTTAACAAAGGCTCTGTGAGCTCACAGCGGACGGTGGCGATCGTTGTGACGATCCGTTCAAGACGAGTGTGTGTGCACGCTCACAGTGAGGACGCCTGACACAGGTATGGACCTGCTGTGAGCGTGCTCCACAGCTTCAGCTGCATTTCTGGAATAACCCTTCATGAAGAGCCCCTCCAGCTGCGGCGAGTGCGGCTCCACAGAGTGGGAACGTGGAGCGACGGATTGTAAGTGAGCGCTTTCTCCTCCTGAAACGGCGTCCTACCGGCCGCTTCCTGCAGTGGGAACGTGCACAAAGACGCCCTGAAACTCCCCGCCGGTCTCATCGCTGCTAACAGACCTTTGCTTCACAACAGTCACAGCCTGATGTCATTCTGAGATCACGAGCTTGATGATGTCCACGACGTTAATTAGAAAGAGTCAAAGGTAATAAACGCTGAACGTGAGCAACGCCTCCCCTCCACGCGTTTCTCCACCCGGTCGTCAACGGGTTCGTTTATCAAACAGGAAGAATTTACGACCATTTAAAACAAACATAACTGATGTGAGTTTCACTGTGAGAAGTGTGACGGCGACTCGGACACAAACTGTGACTGTATGTTAACCAAACTCCAGACGAACATGAGCAACGGCAGGAGCGACACCTGGACCCACACAACAGGCACAGATTAACGTCAGTAATGTTCCATGTTTCAGTCAAACTGTTTCAGTCTGTGAGCACATCATCCTGAACAACAGACAAAAACACAAACGACTCATTCACAAAGTAAACGCGCAAGTTTAAACGCCAGACAAACCAAAGATCACTCTGATGTCATACATCGGAGTTTGTTGGATAATTTGGACGATTACATTTTTCTTATAAATTTTAACATATTTCTTTGTTTCAAAATAAGAATCGCCTGCTTGTCCGAGACGTTTATTAAACTGCATCACGATAATCTCCGTTTCAAGCCTTCAACGTATTTTTGTCAGGTTTTCTTTACAGATGCAGAAACGGGCTGACGGTTCGGCGCAGTGGTCACACATTTGTACTCATGGGTGTAATGACACACACACACACACACACACACACACACACACACCTGTAATAACATGAACTCATTTTAACAGAATATTGAGGTTATTTTAAGCCTCACAGTAAAGAAGACTGAGTGCTGGGCAGAAACTATAGCATGCATGATCTTACTGCACACACACGGAGCTGGAGGCAGCTCGACGTATAAACTGAAGAGTGTCAGCGCTGCTTTGGATCAGTAACACTCATTTATTTTACTGACGCCAGGTTGAAACTCAACCTTTGACCTCCGTCACATCAAAAACAGACGATGACAAAGGAAGGTGGAAAGTGTTAAATCAGAAAAGCTTTCACGTGATCACCAGTCCAGACTCTAAACGACTGAAACAGTTTGCTGTTCTTCATGGTTTGAATATTTGACTGAGTTTAAGTTAGAGCGAATCTCTGTGGGGGGCAGGCTGAAGTACCTCGACCTGGGCTGTTATCCAGGGAATATAAAAAACAAAGTCTGGGCTTGAGGCTCCAGCACCTCCTCCTCAGGGGTCCCTCTCCTTCTTTACCTTCACATCTCCAGCCAGGATGGTGGAAATCTCCCCCTGCATAAATGCCCAGGGCACGTTGGAGCCGACTAGCGGGCACTTGTCCCCACTGGGGCAGTACACCTCCCCGGAAGCCCCTTGGGCCTTGATGCTCTCCCGGGAGCAGGGGAAGCAGAACTTGTGTCCGGGGACGGAGGGACACTGCACGAAGTGAGTGTCCTCCAGGCGCTCGTGGCAGATGGTGCAACATAGCGGTCCGCTGTTGGCCACGGGGGAGTCGGGCACGCTCTGCGCGTGCACCTGGTCCTGCGCGGGCAGCCCGAGGTCCCCGTTGCGGGAGGAGAGGCGCCTTTGGCCGGAGGCTGAGGCCGGGGACGCCGGGCTGCCGGCCGCGTGCCTGGAGTGCGCGGCGGAGTCTCTGTCCTTGCCGGGCGAGTGCGCGTTACCGAGCGCGTCCGCCACTGACATGAGCGCGGCCATGGGGGACTGTCCGTTCTGCGGCGGGGCGGTGGCGGATTCCGGTGGGGTCTTGAGGGCCTCGCCCGGGCCCCCGAGCCACTGCTGCCGCTGCTGCTCGTCCGCAGAGTCCGGCTCCGGGGAGGCCTTCCTCTTCCTCAGCCCGGGCCGGGAGCCCCCCGCCCGTCCTGGCGGCAGCGGGAAGCCGCCGTCGGCGTGCGGCTGCGGTAGCAGCTCTACGGACAGCGGCTCCCGAAAGAAGCGCAGCGGCTCCGGCAGCAGGTCCCCGAGCAGCCGCCAGTCCCCGGAGCCCGGCTTCTTCTCGTACTCCAGGTACTTAAAGCCGGACGACAGCCCGCGCCCGTAGTCTTTCATGCAGTCCTGGTACATCTGCTTGGCCACCCCCGAGGCGCTGGAGAACACCGTCCCGGAACCGCTCGGGTACTCGATGAACAGCTTCAGCTCATGCTCCGCGCCGGGCTTCGACGCGGCGTCGAAGGCGAACACGCGGCCCAACAGCGCGTGGTCCTTCTTGAAGCGGACGTCGAAGGGCGTGCTTCCGGTGAGCGCAAGCAGCGTGTCGCGCACGGCCTTCGGCCGGCCCGCCCACTCTTCCTGGCGGCTCCGCAGGCTGTCGCTCAACTCTGCCAGCACCTCCGCGTTGCGCTGCTTCTCTTTCAGCTCCCGGTCCGGGTCGGCGGCGGAAACCGAGGCGGGCCGCTTCGCCCCGGGCTCGGCCCGGCCCGTCTGCGGCAGCAGGCTGGGTGGCACGGCGGCGGACGGCGGTCCGGCGGGGGTCCTGCCGCGGGAGTTCGGGCTCTGGCGGTTCAGCTCCGGCGGGCCGTCGTCCTTGAAGCCGTTCGGTCCTCCGAGCCCGGTGGGCGGCCTGACGCCGTAGTCGAAGCGTCCCAGCGAGTAGCGGTCCGTCCCGGGATGCTGGGGCTTGGCTGCACCATCCGCCGGGTGGTGGTGGTGGCTCGGCGGCTCTTTGCCGCTTAGTATGGCCGCCTGGCTCTTCGTCGCCCCGGGCTGCTGCTGCGGGGGCGCTCCCGCGGCGCCGCGGGCCTCCTGGAAGCCGTGAGCGCGCTTCAGGTGGCGGGCAGTCTCGATGACGAACTCGATCCGGTCCGCGCCCTCATAGTTGACGCATCCGCGGCACACGGGCTCCGTGAAGTCCCAGATCATGGCCCAAGGCATGCGCGGCAGGTCGCACAGGTAGCACGACTGCCGGCGGGACACCTGCGGGGAGGACATGTTCCCTCTGCCGGCCCCCTGCCTCCTCCTCCGGGCAGCCGCTTCACCAGCTCCCGCTAAAACTGCGACACGCCGCCGGACTGCGGAGCCTCCTCTGAGCTTATTGTTCCTCCTCCTCTTCCTCCTGCTGCTGTAGCTCCGTGTGCTGCTGCAGAGATGGAGGGAGGAGGAGGAGGAGGGAGCTCTGCCTTTTTTTTCCCTGCATGCATCACTCCCGGGGAAGCGGAGGAATTCAGATTGTTACCCCCTCTCACACAATGCCACCTGGTGGAGTAGCTGACGTCACCGTCCCTCCCCCTCCATGATCTCACTTGTTGCCCTCGTTCTTCCCCCATCTGTGTCACCCCCACCTCCTCCTCTTCATCCTGTATTTGTCATATCCAGGTAAAGAAGAAGCCCGCTCCACCTGCAGCACTCCAGCTGCCGGGGTTCACGGGTCTGACCCCAGCACACACGGTCCGGAGGGGGCACACAGCGGGAGGGCTGAGGCCTCTCCCCCCATCATATTTTTGTCTGTAGTTTGTGGGGCTGTTCACGAGTCATCATAAAAGTATCACGGCTTGTTTCTTTAACCCTTGTATGGTGTTCGGGTCTGTGAGACCCGTGTTCAGTTTTTTTCAAAAGAAAAATTAAACAATTAATTATTTTTTCACGTGTAAATGTGTTGTCTTTCCACTCACTCCACTTGATTATAACTGATTTATTTATAACATTTTATATAAAAGAAAAACGAGAAGCACATTAATTCATAAATGTGATCTAACAAAGGTAAAGGGAAAAAATTAACCATGTTTGCTGTTCATATGTCTTGTAATTGGGATGAAGTAAACATCTGTTGAGTAATTTAACATAAAATTGTTTGATAGTGTTAATTTGGAAAGCCAAAACTCTAGCGGGTCCACCAGACCCATGAACACTGGCTGAGTAACAAAAATACGAACACCACACAAGGGTTAAATAACTCCTGCTCCTTTTACCAGTCTTTGGCTTTTGAGGGTGGGGGTCTGCTGCCCCCCCCTGAGAAGAAACTCTGAGATCAACGCCCCCCTCCTCAGAGGAAACAACAGCATAGGTGTTTCATCACCTCACAGCAGTTTAAGGTGGAATATTAAAGGTGGACCCTGGGGTTTTGGGCTGCAGAGGCATCCGTGTTGCTAGGCAGGTTTTACCTCTCTGCTCCAACCCACCCCTCCTCTCTCTCAGTATGCACTGAGCCTCGATCGCCCTCGCTGCTCTGATGTTTCTTTGGTTTCTGTCTTCAGAGCTCAGTAAAGTTAATTTATGCTCTTGTTTGAACCCTCAGTGTAGCTGTGCAGCACAGTTAAATAAATAAGCGATAAGTAAAAATCAGTCTTGTGATGTGTAACACATGCAGTATACTACGGTAATCAGCAAAGGATTACTGTGGTATACTGTAAATCTCTTTAGATTAAAGCAAAGAACTGACCAATAGGAGAGGTTTGTTTGCCTCTTTCCTTCCCCTCATGTGTCTCCTGATCGAGGTGCCGTGCAGTCAGACATGATGTGACGTGATGGGCAGCTCTCTGACCCGAGCCTCTCAGTGCTCAGAGCACGTCTGACTGTGGAAAATATCCCGATTTTCCACACAGCAGCTTCAGCTCTGCTGCAGACAGCAATCACATCACTGAGCAATGAGTCTCTGTGGAGCTGTCCGCACGCAGTTCATCAAACAGGCGGAAAAATAAAAACTACACTAGTTTCAAGCAGAGTGTGCACAAACAGGATGGGGTTACCTCACAGCCTGTAACTCACAGAGGGACTTGGCTGCAGTTTGGCCTTGGCTGTCACAGTCACCTGCTCATTCATAACAATAAAAGACGTCTGTTCGTACAGAAACCTCACAGCAACACAAACACGTCCACAGTCCAGTTAGCACGAGCTAGCAACTACACCCACCTGTCAGTCAAGGAGGCCACGCCCCTGTTATGTAACCTTGCCTTGACAGAGTTTACACAGGTGAGTTATGAAAATATGCACTACACTGGTGCATTCTGGGAATATTGCGGTTTTTCAGTTATCAGCAGTGGGTGGCGGCTTTGGCTTAGTGCCATCGCCATAAACACACAAAAGCATCTGCGTGCCTCTCATGGATACTGCTGGCGTTGCCATGGAAACGTGCGAGGAGAAGCTGCAGAATACAGGATCAACTGTAGCACCCCCCCCCACCCCACCCCCCACACACACACTATGAATGATTATGCAAATGCAGCGACGCAGACCTGCTGTAGCATTCAGACACTCCCAGGCTCCTTTATGTCTCCACCTGCTCCAGTCTTCACACAGCACTCCGACTGACCGAGCAGACCAATCAGCACCTCCACATGCTCTCACATGACCTTTCATCGCTTTAGCTGAAGCATCACTGCACAGGAACTAATCTAACCTTTGTCTCTAAAACACACGAGGGCTTCACTCTGCTCTTCCACCGCAGGAAAATCACTGGCTTGTTTTTTCATAGGTGGGTTTAACTGACTCAGACCAAACGGTGACCACATGCAGATCACTGATAGTAATGTGTGTCGACACCTCTGAAGGCTTCTTTAAACCAGGAGAAAGCCCGTTTAGAGCCCGGCAGTCAAACCAGTTCTGTGCACATCTGAATCCAGCTTGGAGTCAGTTTGTGACTTACAGGATTTTATTTGCCTCCATTTTCAGCTTCAGCTGATTATTCGGTTCACGTGGATCTGTGCGAATAATCAAACATCTTTATCTTTCTTTCTTAAATAAACACACGAAAAACGTAATAAAGATTTGTTTTTGTGCTGGCCCTGCATCCCTTCAGATCTCCATGTGTGCTCACTGAACGCGTCACATAAATAAGAACAACCAAAAAACCAAGAGTCCTTCTGAGCATGTTGATTGGTGGCTGTTTAATATGCAGGTTCAAGCTTTTCCAGGTGTGTCAGGAGTGCACCTGAACCCTGAGCCTGTTTCCTGTCTGTGTCTCTCAGTCTCTGTTTAACAAAACCGCCTCCATCAAACCCACAAAAACATCCTCCCCCCTCCCCCCTTCACCTGGTTTGATCTGCCCATTGGTCAAGGCGATGCGTTTCCATGGTAACTGGGGCAGGAGGGACAGCTACATTTGGCAAGGAGCTCGGTGGCTGGGCGCCGAGGCTGTTTGCTGCTGCAGTGAAGAAGAAGACAAATCAGAGACGGAGGTTAATCATCCATGAAGTTTCAATGTTTTCCAGGCCTGGAAAGCCTGGAAAGGTGTACAAGGATTTTCCAGGTGGATCTCATGAAGATGTTGAAAGCATATTTCAGAATTTCAGACATGAATTTTGCGATATTTGCCTCGACAGATGTGCACACACACACACACACATACACACATCTAAATTCAGCACTGAAGCTAAAAAAAATAGTCACGCTACTACAAACACTCTGGTTACCATGACAACTGTCTCCATCCGATTGTTCAGTCTAACGTCACTAGCCGTGTCTGGGTCTAAACTCCGCTGCAGGTCCATATATCAAACGATCACTATGGCATTACTGAGAGTTGAAAAACTGTCTAAAGTCTTTCATCTTTAATAAAATGATCAGCGTTCTGCTCTACCAGGTGTAACAATTGAGTTTAACATCCAGGCATCCATGAAAATGGAATTTATGACATTTAACGGAGTTAGAAGCTAACGAGCTAACTCCCTGCTAACTTCTATCTAAATACAATATAGCATGTCCTGACTGCGGAGTTTTAGAAAAAAAATTTAAACGTACAGCTCTGCTATCACTTCCAGCATAAATGAAGACAGAAAACTAAACAGCAGTGACGTTTGTAGGGTTACTGAAGTTTGGCTAGCTGGTATATAATGATGTGCTGCGTGACTGCTAGCGACACAGCTATGTTAGCATAATATAAACAAGCTAACTTTTTTTCCACTCGATAAAAGTTAACCTGAGTGTTCTCGTGGTCAGGAACAAATGTAATCACATGGCAGGATGCTGTAAAAGGACCAAACTTCAGCCAGGAGAACAACTGAGATAATCCATCCACAATACGAGGTTAGTCATTCATATACTGCTGCATGGGCTGGGCTGTAGTTACATCCTAAGGTTTTAAAAACTGAGCTTAAATAAATGATTAGCGGTAATAAAAGCCGAGGGAGGTCAACAGTGATCACTGACTGTTTTAGGAGCTTTTTGAGATCAAATAGAAGAAAATACAAAACATTAAACATGTTAACAACACAAAAGCCATATTAAACGCAGACTACTGTTTTTTTTTTTAAATATTAAACTTTATTAAGAAACAGTATACAGAACATGTATACAATCAGAACAAAATTAACATATGCCAGGGGGTGCAATACAAAGAATTACAAACATTCAAATAATTTGTAATTACTACAAATAGTAATAGTTTTCATAGCCTTTTTGTTAAGTGATCCACTAATCAATTTTATGTAACATAAAACATGATTATAGTAATGTTTAAAATTAGGTTAAACGCAGACTACTTTAGACCCGGAAGTAGGATTCGTTGCGTCATCACTGAACAACCGGATTGCCTGCAGTACTGACACACACACACACACACACACACTGCTGCCACCTGCTGGTTCACCTTCCTCATTACACCTCAGGGCTGACAGTCCAAAACTTAGTTATTTGTTTATCATTGTTTGTTATACACAAACAAATAACATTTTTATCATTTTAAGAGCTCAAAAATTCTCTGTATTTCTGCACTTTAAGTCCAAACAATGTGTTTTTAAATCAGCCATAAAATGAAAAAAATATTGGAAGATTTTTCAGTAACTGGATGAAAAAAAGAAAATGATTTTATTTTTTTACAGGGTTTTTGAAACAATTATGTTTCAGGTGTTTATCAGGCAGACAAACAGGTTGATATTTATAATCTATTGTTTGCTAAATAATTCAAAATGTCATGTGTGGGTCGGAACAGTACACAGCACAAACATGCATCTGCTCTGCTGTTGGTACACCTGTCCATGTTTCTGATTGGTAGCACACTGCAAACTCCACCTTCCTGTGACCTCCCCTGTACCAATGTGTGTAAGCTCCAGGCTGACCCACTGAGCTGATGTCAGGACTCACAGGACGCACCTCATGCTGACCAACACAAACTGCTGTGTGCTTACCTGCAGCATCCAGGTGTGTGACCTGCAGGTGCGTCGGCGGGTCTAAAGCATGGCCGCTCGCTATCCTGAGGGCTGATTCCAGCAGCTGGCTCTGATTGGAGGAGAGAAG